TAATCTTGTGTTCGTCGGTGTGGTCCTCTATCGCCAAGCCGATTGCCTGCGTTGCCGATTGCCCCATCTTGTGCCGGTTTGCGATCGAGATGGCGTTATAGCGAACGTCCATCTGTACGTTGATCGGCGATTCTCTTCGTCGAGGCCTCTCAGGTGGTTGACGGTTTTCAGTTCCTTCCTCAAGTGTAACATGTCGGCTTTGTTCAGTCGCACGGTCTCGGCGCTAACCGTGGCTGCGTTTTTTTTGCAGGGCGTTCCGTGACGGCGGTGGCGTGTTTGTGGATGCCACCAGGAGCCTTAGCTTGGTCGGTCTGATGGCCATGTCCTGCTGGCCCACGTGAACTCCTTGGTTGGGGGCTGCTGCCTTCGCCACTCGTCCCGAGCTTGGGACGTCGTCGTACAGCTTGCATTTCTTGGAGGCGTAGTCGCAGTTTCTGCATCTCAGCGACATCTTCCACTAGTTGCCTCTCTGCTCTTCATCGCACATCTTCAGGTTTGGCTCCAGGTAACGGGATGCGTGTTATTCCGTCTAGCATGTTATAAATCAATAATAGCGATAAGTTTTTTCATATCAAGTAGTGCAAATACGCATACATTTATAGAATACAGTTAATTTGAAAATTATGTCGTCAACAATGAAATGAAATAGAATTTCACTTACCCGATGTTCACGGATCACTGAATTCCACAGGTTCTCGACTTTCGTGAGATGCAACAGTCGCATCTCATCTCGGTCGGACCGCTGCTGCACGGCGAAAGGGTCTGTGGAGGAGGTAGCGGCTGGCTTCGGGCGCAGGATCTTGGCGCCTCCATCTCTACCATCAGCATCTGAAACAGAAAGAGTGCCATTGGTACGCGTTCTCACAACCTTCTGGTAAATATCCCGATGCAGCCGTGGGGTCCACGTCTGAATCGGGATATTCGCCGGAAGAAGACGTTGCACATGCGCTGCTTCGCTGGCTGCTGGCTGCTTCTTGGTGCCCTTGTTGTGTGGGATGCTTCCTGGCTTGAATTGCATTTGCTTTCCTTGTCTGATCGGCCCATCGTGCATAACAGACTGCCTCAAGCTATGACTAGTTTGAGATTGGCATATTCCAAATGCCAACATTGCTGCTATTCTTTCCCGACACAATAATGTGCAGCTAGGATACTTTGCGTTCCATTAGAATGTTTAGTTTGTTTTGTAGGAACAACAGTAATAAACTAACAAAATTTCATACAAGCACATGGAGACAAGAGGTCTTAACAATTAGGAATGTCGTAAGGTTGTGCCTTAAGAAACGGAACGCAGCATGAATTGAAACGGCAGATTCTTTCGAATTCGTAGAGCTTTTTGCACTAATTCCTTTGCAAATGTATACTATAAATACCTATTCTCGTGTTATGTAAAAAATCAGCAACTAGCCCCGTTGCAAATGCCAGGGCCCAGGAAATCACAACATAGCAAAGCTACTACTGGGGAACTGCTGCTTGATAACCCCACCTGACCAGGTGGACGTCTCCAAGCTGTCACCAGAGGGGTGTTCAAAAGCGCGAACGCACGCGTGCGCTCGCCTTCTGAACGACACTGCGCGGTCGAGCGCGCGTGATCCTGCTCCCGAGACTGGTCGCGCAGAACGCAAGTTTTCAAGATGGCGACGGGCAATCTGGCGAATGCGAATCTAACATTTTTGACTTCATTTCAATCTTTCAACTTCATTTCATTTTCATTCATTCATTCACTACTAAATTTAATTCGTATCAATTTCGTCTGCTAATTCGTTTACAGTACTTGTTCAAAGACTGATTAAATCTGACCTTGAGGAGCTGCCATGGGGGCGCGCCACAATCTTGGCATAAAGCGGAGCGCTCGTGTGTCGTTCAAAGTGGCGCTGCGTCGTGCTGCGAGCGTTCGCCGCTGTTGAACACGCTCTCAGCCATGCACTTGTGTGGCGGCACGTGGCCTAGATTAACATCAGCCTGCATTCACACAGCCCTGCATTCCCACAGATGATTCGACCTGACAGTGACATGTATTATCATCGTGATCTTAGTTTCAGTCTACTCCCTTAGGGGTGGCGTTGAAAGGGGGTGGCCTGGAAGCCTACAGTTATACCCTCCTGGGGGCCTACAGGTATATATATACCCGTCTGGAGCGTTACGTTACGTAGCCTCCCTCCCCCATCGAGGGGGGGCAGGGATTCGTTAGGGATCGATCTCTGGAAGAAATTTGCAGTGGCTGCATGCTTGTCTGTATTACGCTTGTCGCGGTATACATAATGTAAGCAATTACCAAGATGAAGAGCTGACTTATTTGTACATATATGTGATATATTACAATTTGTAGTTATGGACTTAACAATTATTTCCTGCTAAAAATGCCGAGGATTCTACTTTATATCTTCATATTTGGTATAACAATGGGATCATCAAGTTTAAGGTATATAGCCTTTAATGCCCCCCCCACCCACAATGTGAGTTTAGTGCCCATCCTTCATTGAGTAGCCTACTTTAGAGGAACTTTAGCTCCCGTGTCAGACAATCTCTGGTGCCATGCCTGCACTCACTTATGGTGCTTTCAAACACAACATTTATTATAGCGTATTCAGCACAACTGAGGCTCAGCCGCTACAGCAAGTGAAGACAGCAAGGCTCCACTATTCAATTCTTAAATGGATTTTTCATGTCAGTCTCTTAAAATTTAGAGACACCCAGCCAGCATCGAATAAAAACTAGTAACAGTAGGAAAATCGTTACCTCGTGTCAGTATAGTTTAAGTGAGATTGCGTGAGGTTGTGTGCTGCGAGAATAGAGGATTACCAATACAGGTGAAAAGTACGCAGACCCGGCTTCTATAGGTGCTAAATGGAGTCACGAATTTTCTATGGTGCATTTTGCTGAAAAAAGTTGTTGCAATTTTTTACATGAAAAATAAGTATACTAACACGACTAAATGTATCCTCAAATTTTGACTTGATAAGATTGTTTCTCAACTAGCTTAAAATCGAAAAACCTGGGCGATTTGCTATAGGATCACGACATTAAATGCTTGCTATGGGCTATGTATGAGTCACGAGTGTTTGTTCACATCAAACGAATAGCAAGAGACAACAAACGGAAGAATAATGCAGCAACTTAACCATAAAACAGTGAACAGAATCACTTAGATTTTGTGAAAAAGTGACATGATTTTTTTTCTTTTACTATTTATGGTGACATTGCCTCAGCCACACGTCCGCAGACAACATCTAAAATCTAACGTAATCCATCTCAACGTCGATTTCTCTTTAGCACTAGTGTGGTGTTTAGAAACGTTACAGAACACGTTAACTACTGAAGGGCTGCCCAGGGCTCCAGATGTCTAAATCCTGCCTGATATCTCTGTGGGCAGCATCTGGTATACTGCGAGATTCTGATATTTCTAGCGTATCACT